TGAAGTAGTTGACGCTACTTCAGTAAATGTTTTTAAAGATAAGGTAGATTTTTTTTGAACAATAAAGGAATTAAGGAGTACAGTGAGAACGCGGGTAAGTGGATCTGAGTCCATGAAAAGATCAGCCGTGATCTTATTAAATGGCAGGGCAAGCTTGAGGGGCCGGATGGCCTACTCCTGCTCCTAGTTCTTATGGTAAAATTCTATCTCTATTAGCAAGTCGACGACAGACTTAGAAATGGCATGAGGGTAAATTGCAGTTGGGGTGAGCTACGAGAAGCATGGATAAAACATTATCCATTCCCCCCACAAGTATACTAGAGCTACCACATGTAATTTCTCAAATTACTCACGTACTGTAATCCAGATTGTTATTTTTTGACAGCAGTTTTGAAGACCATTGTTCAGATTTCAATGGGTTGCTCAGCGTAATAAGGTCACTAATACTAACCTTGAAACTTCAAACAGATTCAATAATCCATAAAAGACTCTCAAGTGAACTAATCAAGGGTTTTGACATGAACTTCGAAAATTACAATTACAAGGACACCTTTACTTACTCCAAACAATACAGTCTCTGTGACCAGTCTCTGGTCACGGAATTCAATATACAACTTGATGATCAGTGGCACAACTATGGGGCGCTGGCTTTATTAAAGACATTTTATCATTTCAACATCGAGGGAACCTGGACTTAATGAAGGGTGCAGTTACACTGCAAATACTGGTTTGAGGCTGGCACTTACAGAAGACCAAGTTCCGAACTACTGGCTGTAGGTTGCCATCTTACCAGGGATCTGGCACCTACATTTAAAAGTACACTACAGACTATAAGTAAGTTATCTTCTGGCACTATTTTTAGAAATTAAATTGAATTTATGAATGTTTCCAGGTGAAATTGTTTTGTGCAGAACAGTTGCAAGATTTTATCAAATACAACGTTAGATTATTTGTCCACATTTTAATGTGTGGTAACAGAGTAGAGATACAACAGCAACATCGAAGAGGCAAGCCCATATGAAGTAACCAAAATGACTCTCAGTTGTGTTGGGAGGCTATTTTGCCAGTGGTGTTTAGCTTAAGCACCAGTAGGTGGTGCACTATTGACGAAGACAGAATAAATAGACAGCAAAAATTCAGTTAGTGAAATATTTTTTGTTGCTCAGTGTTCAGTGGGGAAAAGATGATAAAAGTGTAATAAAATCCTGAAAATATGCTGTTGAAAATCAGAAATAAATGACTACATGCGGTGAGGCCTACTCTACTGTTGATGGAAAGTTGAATGGCTTTTCTTAAAACGTCATGCAACATTCCTTTCAGCACCTTTAGTCTTCTGTACATACTCTTCCTATCAGATTAACTTTTGCTTCACTAACGACTGATGATAATCACGTCGAAAGTGACATAGATAATTCTCTGTAGGTTGGCATTTTAAATAGTCATTATTCAGTTGAAGACCATTTAAAAAAAAATTCTTTCAGAGGATGTGGTTTTCCCTCACTAGGTCAGCATTTGCTGCCCATCCCCAATTGCAATCAACAAGGTGGTGATGAGCCATCTTCTTGAACTGTTACAGTCCACATGGTGTAACAACTTCAGTCGCCATCTTTAAATCTACTGCAGTACAATAAAACAGGATTATTAAGAATGTGCGCTATCATCCACCTGCAACTATAACTTTTCAGTTGAGTGAGATCAAGCACTTATCCATTTCTTTATTGTATGGTAAGGTGACATGACAGTTAGGGAACTGCATTTTTTTATTCAGTCCTGAGATATGGACATCATTGGCCAGCATTTATTGTCCATTCATGGTGAGCTGCCTTCTTGAACCACTGCAGTCCACGTGCTGTAGGTTGATCCACTCTGCTCTTAGGGAGGGAATTCCAGGATTTTAATCCAGCGACAGTGAAGGAATGGCCATATATTTCCAAGTCAGGATGATGAGTGGCTTGGAGGAGGTCTTGCATGTGATGGTGTTCCCGTAAATCCGCTGCCTTTGACCTTTGATGGAAGTGGTTGTGGGTTTGGATGGTGCTGTCTAAGGGTCCTTGGTCAATCTCTGCAGTGGCGTAGAGTGTCAGATGATAAGTCCACTCACACCAGTTGTATGACTTTTTGATCTCGCTGTTCTTAATCACTCTGCCTATAAACTCTGTGTCTGTGTGCCCTGCTCTCCCACTGCACCTGATGAAGGGGCTGCGTTCCGAAAGCTGATGTGATTCTAAATAAACCTGGTGGACTATAGCCTGATGTTGTGTGACTTCTGACTTTCTAACACCAGCACCTCAACATCAGTACATCTTGTAGACAGTACACATTACTGCGACTGAATGTCAGTGGTGGAGGGAGTGGATATAGTGCCAATCAAGTGTGCTTCTTGAGTATTGTGGGAGCTGCACCAAGCCAAGCAAGCAGTGAGTATTCCTTCACCCTCATGATTTGTGCCTTGTAGATGGTGGACAGGGTTTGTGTCATCAGTAGTTGAGTTACTAGATTCAGTATTTCTAGCTTCTGACTGGCTCTGTAGCCACTGTGTTTATTGGCAGGTCCAGTTGCATTTCTGGTCATTGCTAACCTCCAGGATGTTGATAGCAGGGTATTCAGAGATGGTAACACCATTGAACGTCAAGGGGCAGTGGTTACATTGTCTCTTATTGGAGATGGTCATTTTCTGGCATTTGTGCGGTGAGAATGTTACTTGTCACTTGACGTCCCAAGCCTGGATATTGTCCAAATCTGAGGAGAAAATGACTGCAGATGCTGAAATCTGTGCTGCAAACTACCAATGCTGGAGATCACAGCGGGTCAGACAGCATCTGTGGAGAGACAGCAAGCTTACTATCTCTCCATGGTTGCTGTCTGACCTTCTGTGATCGCCAGCATTGGTTATTTTCAGTACTGTCCAAATCTTGTTGCATTTAAACACGGACTGCTTCAGAATCTGAGGAGTCCCAAATGGTGCTGAACATTGTGCAATCATCGGCGAGCATTCCCATTTCTGATCCTATAATGGGGGGAACGTCATTAATAAATCAGCTGAAGGTGATTGGGCCTAGGACACTCCCCTAATCCAAAATTCATGAGATATATTTCAGTTCAAGACTGAAGCTTCTGTGTAGCCTTCAGTAAAGAGTGATGTTACATCTGGCACATAGAAGATGTGTCAAGTGATGTCATTCTGTGTTGTAAGTTTTCATAAAAACCCTGCATGAAGCAATGCTGAGTGCCCCATTAGCCTCAGTAACATCCAATTTCTGATAATCACTCAGGCTTGTAACATGGCTCATTTAAGCTTCCTTGAAGTGACAGACATTCATGCACAAGGACCTATTCTCTGCAAAGTAAAACAATGTGGTTAAGCTGTGTATCTTTTTTGAATTGCCCAAGAGCTTGGGGATTCTTTAGACCCCAACTGCTTTATCTGTGGCAAAGTCTCAGCCAATCAGAGTTGACTTACCAACCAGTCAGCACCCTTGTATAAACTGTTGGAATTGTTTGAAATTTGGCATTCCATCATTTGTCCTGATAAATGCAGGACAAAACATATTAGTGACAGCTGTCTCTTCTTCAGCAATCTTCAAGTTCTGTACTATCAAGGGCTTCTTGCTACAAAAGATTTTCTGATGTATCACAAAAGTATTAGGCATAGTTAGGAATATGATGAATGATGTACTAATACAGACAGATTATTGTGGGTCAGTGCTATCAAGGTTTTATTTAAGAAGGAAGTCAGAAAGTCATTTGGAACAGCAACTTAGTTGCATCAATTCCAAGAAATTATGTGACTTCAGTCAAGTGCCTGGAAGGACCCCTGAGGTGTTAAAGGATGGAATATTTACAACAGACAAGAAAGCCATTAGTTTATTTTTGACCTCAGAATTGACAGTTCATGGTTTCAGTTCAGAAGAATGCAGAGTTCAGTTCAGAAGACAGAACAATGTCTCCTATCAACTGTATCAAGCCCTTAGCTCAGAGAATAAGGTATACAGGTACAGTGGGTAATAAGGAAAGCAGATGGATTTTTAGCATTTATTGCTGAAGGAATGGAGCATTAAAGCTTTTGAGAAGATTTATAGGTCGGGTCGTGGGTGAGGTTGCAGACTTGCTCACCAAGCTGGTGTGTTTGATTGCAGGCGTTTCATCACTCTGCTAGATAACATTGTCAGTGTGCCTTCAGTGAAGCGTTTGTGTTCTGTCCCGCTTGTTATTTATATGCCTCGGTTTGCTGGGGTGGTTGGCATTACTTCCGGTTCTGTTTTTCAGTGGTTTGTATATTGGGTCCAGTTCAATGTGTTTGTCGATGGAGTTCCAGTTGGAATACCAGGCCTCCAGGAATTCCCTGGCATGTCTCTGTTTGGCTTGTGCTATTTGGATATGTTGTCCCAGATTTAATGGAGCATTAAAGTAAGGAAATGTTGCTGCAATTGTACAGGGCATTAGTGAGACCACACCTGGAGGATTGGGTGCAGTTTTGGTCTCCTTAGTTGTATTGGAAGCAGTTCAGAGGAGGTTCACTAGATTAATTCCAGAGACGAAGGGTTTGTCTTATGAAGAGAGATTGAGAAGTTTAGGCCTGCACTAGAGTTTACAAGAATGAGAGGAGATCTAATTGTGAAAAGTGTGAAAAGGGATTGACAAAGTAAACATAGAGAGAATGTTTCCTCATCGGGGGAATCTAGAATGAGGGGTCATAGTTTTAGGATAAGGGGTAGTAAATTTAAAACAAATGAGGAGGAATTCTCTTAGGGTTGTGAATCTGTGGAATTCATCAACTCAGAATGTGGCAGATGCTAGGACACTGATTAAATTTAAGGAGGAGGTAGAGTTTTAATTAGTAATGGGCTGAAGTGTTGTGAAGAGCAGGCAGGAAAGTGCTGTTGAAGCTGAGATGAGATCAGCCATGATCATAGTGAGTGGTAGAACTCCTGCTCCTACTTTTTATGTTTTGGGATTTTTATGATCTTATTCACCAAAGTGATTTATTGTGGCATTTTCAGTCCAGGATATTTTAGATGGACGTCTTCAAGTCATGAGAACTGAAAAAGTTTGGGTCATCAAAATTGTAAAATGTTTATCCCTGCGAACTCAAAGGAATCGTGAAACTGTCTCCACTATTCAAGGACTTGAAACTGAAGGAATCAGATAAGTAAAAACTTGAAGAGTTGAGATAGTAGAGAAATTACTCTGGAATTGTGTATGTATAAAAGGATAGTGTTGGGAACAGGACTGTTTTACCGTTAGTGTTAAGATCTCTGTTTCTAATACGTGCAATTTTATGTATATGTATGTGTAGCTTTGATCATTTTCTTTCTCGTTTGTGTAATAAACATAACGTAATATGTTCTTCTGTTAAAGGACATCTGCATTCTCATGTGAATATGTTTCAGTGACTAACAGCAATTGTAATCACTACAAAAATTAAATGTGTGATCTATCAAGCCAGGTTTCACTCTGAGAAATGACTTGTAAAATATTGACATCAGCTGGGACAGAAGGAAATCAGATTTTTTATTCAGAAGAACCATATCTTTTCTGTATTTAGGATTGTGGATTAAAATGGGAAAAGGACTCTCGAAAATCAAGGCTTATGAAAAAGGTTACTGTACTTTTTAAAAGCAAGTTACCTGACACTCACTGTAAGTGCAGTTTGCACTACTATTTGTTCAAGCAGGGTAGGGAGGTGTTTACTACAGATAAACTGAACCCAGGGGTGTGCACAAAGGGAGATTTGACCAGTAACAATTAGCTGATTGATCTGTGAAGTGGTGAGCAATTGTCAATGGCAAAGACTTTCTGCTGCAAATAACTGTGTGATTGGCTGCCAGGTAACTGAACAGCTTGTGGGTGCAAATGTCTGGTATGAAGTCATCACACATCTGAAAAGGCAGGAACTATCCTTTCCTCTGCAGTTAAAAAAAATCACTTAAAACCTGAAGAGCCCGTTTATTTTCCCGTGCCAGTTGCTGTAAGCTGTGGATCTTAACCAATAAGTCAGATACTTTACAAGCATGAACCATGCACTGTGTATTTCCTGCAAACAAGTGAACGTATCTGGAGAAGGAGGATTAAGAAGGAGCCAAGCCAAAAGGAGCATCTTCATGAACCTTGTAGACAGAGACCATTGAGTTGTCTTCGGAGTCATTCCCTCTGCTCATACCCATGTTTTCATTTTATCTCTGTCTGTCTGGGTGCATAGGGGGAATTCCTATAGGATGTTCGAGTTTTAATTAGTAGAGTCATATGTTGATAGTTCTTAATTGTTTACCTCTAGCTATGATTAATATATTTGTAATAAATAGTTACTTACAGAAAACTGGTCTGTGCTCTCTGTCAACTTGGGCCTAAAAGAAAAGGAAAATATGGAATTTTGCATACTTTCATAAAATCCTTAAGTTTTATGTTGACTCCAGGAATAGTGAGACTTGATCTGAGTGCACAACCCTTATGAGATGTCATATAGCACTGTGACTTTTTGCAAAAAAAGTCAGGAAGGAAAGGATGGTGGAGTGGTTAATATAGAATCCATATAGGTGGAGCTAAGAAATAACAAGGGCATGAAGATACTGGTGGGTGTAGTCTATAGGACCCCGAACAGTAGCTATATTGTAGGAGAGAGAATAAATCAGGAGATAATGAGAGCATATATAAAAGGCAGCACATTAATCATGGATGACTTTAATCTTCGTGTAGATTAGGAAAATCAAATTGCCTGAGGTAGCCATGAAGAAGAACTTGTAGAGTATATTCGGTTTTCTAGCGCAATGTATCCAACCAAGAATCAGGCTATTTTAGATCTGGTATTGTGTAGTGAGGCAGGATTAGTGAGGAAAAGACCCTTAGGAAACAGTGACCATAACAGGGTAGTATTTAGCATTCAGTTGAACATGAGAAACTTGGGATCGGAAACAACTGTGCTGAACTTAAGTAAGAGTAATTACAAATGAACGAGGGCATAATTGGCTAGAGTGGCCTGGCAAAGGAGTTTATCTTTAATCAGAAAAGGTGGTTGATGAACATCGATAAACCTTTAAGAAAATAATTCATGACTCATGCAAATATGTATCCCCGTAAAGATGAAGGATTCGAGGAAAGGTATAAACTGTGACAATGGTTAACTGATGAAGTTAAGGCTAGGATCAAATTGAAAGAAAATACACACAATGTTGAAAAGATCAATGGTAAACCAAAGGATTGAGAAAGTTTAAAATTCAACTAAAGATGACCCAAGAAAAAGTAAAGAATAAACTTTGAGGGTAAACTAACAAAGACTATAAAAATGAAGAGTAAGAACTTCTTAAAATATATTTTAAGAAGTGAGATGCCTAAGTGAACATATGATTCTCAGAGAATGAGGCTAGGAATAATACTGGCTCATGAAGAAATGGCATGGGAGTTGAATAGATACTTTGCTTTAGTCTTCACAATAGAGGACATTAATAGATTTCCAAAAATGTAACCATGGAGGCCAATGGTGAGGGGGAAATAAATGCAATAACTATCACTGGAGAAAAGGTACTAGATAAACTAATGGGGCTAACGGGTGATAAGTCTCCTGGACCTGATGGGTTGCATCTTAGAATATTGAACAAAATAGCTACAGAGATAATGGCTGTATTGTTAGTAATATTCCAAGAATCCTTAATTCTGGGAAAGTCCCAGGGGATTCAAAAACTGTCAAGGTGACACTTTTATTCAAGAAGAGAAGGTTACAATAAACAGGTCAATGTAGGGCAGATAACTTAACATCTATCAGTGGGAAAATATTAGAGTTCGCTATAAAGGATTTAATATCAAAGCATAATATAATATACTATAAGAATACATAACATAATCAAACAATCTGCCTGGTTTCATAAAGGGAAAATGATGTCTGACAATGTATTAAAATACTTTAAGGAAGTAACAAGTAGTATATATAAAGGGGAACCAGGAGATGTAACATATTTGGATTTACAAAAGATATTTGATAAGGTGCCAGACATAAGTCTGACTAATAAGAGCACATCATGCTGGGTGTAGTATATTAGCAAGGATAGAGGACTGGCTAACTATAGAAGATAGAGAATTGCAAAAACGGGGGCATTTTCAGATGGCAGTCTGTAATTGGTGAAGTGCCACTGGAATCAATGCAAATCAGTGCCATAATTATTCACTTTATAGATCTATTTATGCATAAATGTTAATGATTTGAATGAGCAAAGTGAAAGTAGCCATGTTTGCAAATGACACAAAAGTAGGTGGGCTGACACATGGAATCTGTAGAGGAATATAGACAGGTTAAATGGGTGGACAAAAACTTGGCGGACAGAAGGTAATGTGGGAAAATGTGAGGTTATGCGCATTGGCAGAACGAATAGAGGAGCTGAATGTTGTTTAAATAGGGGAAAACTGCAGGAAGCTTGGCATGGATGGATTTAGGAGTCCTCATGCATGAATCATAAAAAGCTAGCAGGTCATAGGGAAGACAAACGGAATGTATTTCAAAATGAGTAGAGGGTAAATATAGGGAAGTCTCGTTAAAACTGTACAAGGTACAAATCAGACCACACCTGGAATCCTGTGAACAGTCTTGGCCCCCTTGCCTAAGGAAAGATAAACTGGCATTGGAGGCAGTGCAGAAAAGATTGATTAGATCTAGAGGGATTTCAGTCAATGTGTATTCTAATGAGGAGGGGTTCAGTAGGTTGGACCTGTAATCACTGGAGTTTAGAGGAATGAGAGGTGACTTTATTGAAACATACAACATTATTAGGGGGTTTGACAGGATAGATGTGAAGGGGCTGTTCGCCCTTGTGGGAGAATCTAGAACCAGAGAACATAATTTCAGAATCAGGACAAAGATTTAAAGAGAGGACTGGAGGAATTTCTTCTCCTGTGGGTATTTAATTTGTGGAATTCTTCACTGCAGAGGGCTGTCAAGGCTATGGCTGGGAAAGACATTTTTAATCAGTAAGGGAATCAAAAAAGGCAGGAAATTGGAGTTAAAGATTATGCTGTGATCTCATTGAAGGGCACAGCACACTCGTTGGACAGAATGGCCTACTTCTTCTACATTTTGTGGTCATTGCCGTTGAGTAAAAATGCAGATAAGATAAACTTAATTGTTACATTGTATAGAGAACAGTGTCATGGTATTTCTGCATTTATTACTCAATTAAGACTGCGTCGGGCAACTTTCATGTTAATTTAAAACACATCCAGCTCGGCTCCACAATATATTGCAGCTACAGAGATGCCAAGGTGTTATAGATAAGGATTGAGAGTACATGGAATTATAAGAGTGAACTCTATTAAAAGCTAATATTAATAAAACTTCTCTCTGACATGACAAAAAGCTGCTAGAATAATGTATTTGTTGTAAAATCCAAGATTTAGTACCATTTTGACAGCTGTTTGAGAGTGCTATTAAACATTGAAATATACTTGTTGCATCTTCCTGCCTGAAGTTTACGTTAATTCCAAGCCTGATATAATTGACCCTTCAATTCTTTTGATGAATGGGATCAATTTTCAGCAGCTATAAAAAGGATCCAGTATACTCTTTGTGTATCAACAATTTTTCTGTTTCTATGCTATCCCTCCTTCGTGCCAGCCGTGGAGGTACCACAGGCCTCCATGAAAGGCTCCCAGACCTGCCCAAGAGATAGCAGCCTCCACAAATGCTACTGAAACCATTTCTGCTGCTACTTTGTCACAACTGGGTGAGGAAGGGGAAATCAATCCTCTCTGCTAAATCCCACTTGGTTGGTCGCAAACATTCTTTTTCTTTTTAGAATGCAGCTATCATTTCAATTTAAATGTGAGTTGCTAGGAAATGAGAGAGCTTATTTATCAAAGTTTTTTTGAATGACAGAAGGAGGAATTTTATTATTTAGTAATATCATGAAAAGTATTAAAAATGCAACATTGAACACACTCCCACACTCAATTGCACATTCACACACATAAGTTTAAAAGGGGAAGTTTATCACGCAGACAGCATGGGAAAAGATTACATTGAGTAAAAGTTTTTGATGTGTTTGACTCTCAAACTGAGACCACAGTTGTTTAATTGTTAACGGGTATGGCAAAATCAGTGGATATCTTTGAGTTCTTGGTGAGTACTTGTTTTCCAAATTTGCTTTAACACTGGGCTCTGTTTTCCAAGGTGATGAGAGAAGTGTGCAAAGAGAAAGAAAAAGCTTTTGTAACCAAAAATCAATTCTTGCCTGCCTGCCTTCCACAGCTCATAGAATAGAATCGCTACACTGTGGAAGCAGGCCATTTGGCCCATCGAGTTCACACCGACCCTTTGAAAACCATCCCACCTAGGCCCAATCCCCTATCCTATCCCTGTAACCCTGCATTTCTTGTGATTAATCCATCCAGCCTGCACATCCCTGAATACTATGGGTAATTTAGCATGGCTAATCCACCTAGCCTGCACATCTTTGGACTGTGGGAGGAAACCGGAGCCCCCGGAGGAAACCCACGCAGACACAGGGAAAATGTGCAAACTTCACACAGATAGTCACCTGAGGGTAGATTCGAACCCGGGTCCCTGGTGCTGTGAGACAGCAGTGCTAACCACTGAGCCACTGAACTGTCAGGAGGATCAGGCGCATGGCTTTGCCTGGCTAATGGTATATTCAGTGGGGCAGAAATCATACACTGCTTGCATTTAACAGGGAGAGTGTCAGGATCCTCGAAGGGTTTCACTCCATTAGTGTGCAGCTGGTGTGTGACCGTGATAAGGCCATCGTGTGGTGAAACCCCATTGTCCAGGCAGCAAACAAGATGCATTGATCCTGAGGTAGTCTGCCACTCATGTTGTCTTCAAGCCATTCTGAAGAACCAGGGGTTTATAGATAAGGGAACACCACCTATGCACAAGCTTCATGACTTCTTTCCACCAGTCAACCACAAGGGGACAAGCCTGAAACATTGAGAAGGAGTCAATTAGCATTCAAGCAGCAGATCAGCTGCCTGATACACTTAGAAGGAAGCTAGGCAATACTTATTGGGGAATGTCTTCAAATTTGTGATAGTCTGCTATGTACTTCATAACCTCCATATTTTTGGCTGGAACCCTCATGACTAGGCATATGAAAGCCACATCAGGAGGAGACGGGGTAACTGGAGAATAGAAGGATCAAGATGAAGCATCTTTTCACTCTGGATGGTTGTGCATGAACAGTTACTGAGACTCCAGTTCCCTTTTGAAGTAATTCTGTCATCAGAATTTCTGATTATTCCTCATTCTTCTGCCTATCCTATCATACTGTCCTCTTGGCCAAACTCCTGCAAGAAACAGTACTGAAGAAAAAAA